AGCTCTCCTACCGGGAGGTGCATCCTTTTTTTTTTTTTTTTTGAGGTACCAAACCCCATTCTCCTTTTAAAATGGGCGCTTAGAAGTTGAAATTTGCCAACATCAAGAGCTTCCTTGAATTAGGATGCCCTGCACTGCAAGTGTGTTATATAATGCCATGACTGGAGGCAGAGAAAAAGTAGAGCACACAGGGGTAGAGATTAAAAAAGTTTCTGCATAAAAAGAGAGGGAGGGAGGAAGAGATGAGCATAAAGGGAAAGGAGGGGGAGGAGGATTGAGGGAGAGACAGAGGAGATGGAAATACAGAGTAATAAAAATTAGAGGGGGGGGAGTGTTTAGGTTGTGCAGGAGTGAGGGTCCGCCTGGCAGGAGGCTGGTCAGCTCCTCTTAAGGCTTTTTTTTCATCTAGATAATGGAGCATTTGGTTAATTGGCAAAGCGCAGTTTAGGCCGAGCTTTTGTTTGCCAACACGTCACAGCAGAATTATTTCCACTACATTTACAGCAGAGTGTTGCTCTGCTTCCTCTCATTAAAGCTTCCTGACCAGATCGAGCTTTCTGCAGAAATCTGCAGGCAGAGGCCAAAAAACCGCTGCAGCAAAATAAAAGAAGAGAGGAATAAAACCCATTTATCTCCTATCTCACCATCCGCAGCCGCCTTGTAAAGGAACAGACAGAAACTTCTCTATCTGTTTACCGTTATTGTTTTTTGCCACTCATAAAGCCCTCACTTCTGGCTGCTTCTTTTCCCTCCTCCTCTCTTATCAAAAGAGTTATGCGTCGCGCTCGCATGATCTGTATCTGTAAATTTGATTGAGGGTATTTGCAGGGGGTTGTTATTGGATTGTGCTGTTATTGTCTCACCTTTTTCTCTGAGTGTTTTTAATGCCGGGGATGGATATCCGCTCCAGCAGCACTGATATCACCGTTCTGCTCATTAGGCCGAATTCTCAGAGACTAGTGCTTCGCAAACAATAAGACACGCACTTCTGTAGTCCAGCCATTACCCAGTTTAACAATGTGCACAAGCCGGAAAAGTCCATTATTTCTGCAGCTCATCATCCCAAGCATCCACACGAGACAAAGGGGCTGTGAAACCGCCTCGGTGCGAGGGCCCATCTATCACTAAAGTCAGGAGTGGAGAAGGCGAGGAGGGGGGGGTGGGAACATGTGGTGCACATACCCCATACTGGGAGTTCTGGCAGCATATGGGAGCAGCTGTAAGACTTCAGCAGCTTAAGGGGGGAAAAGTGTTATCTTTAATAAAAGTTTCTGAGTCAGCATAAAAGAATAACATTTAAATGAGAATGTAATCAAAACTTTGTGGATGGATTCTGGTCCATAACTACACAACAAGCTTAAAAAGAATTCCTTCATGCTGCTGGATTATAAAATCCATTTATTGGGAAGATTTACTGATGTTGAAGTAAAATAATAAAATAAAAAAACATGAATTAAACTGATTTGTACATTTAAAGAGCAGAACATTATTGTTGACTAGTTAAATCCAACAAAAACAGAACATGACTTTATCTTTTCTTATTGTTCTCCTTTCTTTCCAACCTTCTAACATATTTCTGCGCATACCTGTATGCGTCATGGCTTTGACAAATATCAGCCTTAATGTTTGATAACATTATTAGACAATTAGACAATTTTCAACATAAGTTGTTACATTACTGTATACAGTACAACGTAGTTGCTAGGAGTATTCATTTAAAGAAAGTCTTACCCCAGGTGTTTCCAGATCAACATTTGTTGGTACACTGAAAAAACAATCTAAAAATAAGTAAAAATATCTTAAATTAAGTATATTTACCTGTAATTTGAGTAGGTAAATGAGATAGTTTGCCAATGGAATGGGCATTTTTACTCTTAAAGTAAGATAATTAGATAAAATACACTTGAAATAAGACAATGTTGTTATGTTTTCTTATTTTAAGTGCAAAATGTCTATTTTAGCTCCTTAATCTAAGAACGAATGCATTTTATTAAAGAAAAGATGACTTGTCTAGATTTCGATTTTTTTCCAGTGTACTGGCTCTGGTTCGAATTCTTGCAGGTTGTTGGCAGAGGTCATGGGATGTTTTAAAAATGTTGAATATCCATTTGCAGTTTTCACTCACTTACATGAGGCAATTGTATGCTTTAACATTTATGTACAGGCTAGCGAGATTGATAATGAGAGGGAAACCACCAAGTACACTGCAAAAACGATCTAGAAATAAGTCAAAATATCTTAAATTAAGTGTATTTACCCTTAATTCAAGTAGGTAAATAAGATGATTTGCCAGTGGAATGAGGATTTTTACACTTAAAATAAGGTAATCAGATAATATACACTTGATATAAGACAATTAATTTGTGTTTTTCTTATTTTAGATGTAAATTGTCTTGTTCCATTGGCAAAGTGTCTCACTTACCTCCTCAATTCAAGAAAAAATGCACTTATTTTAGGAAAGAAATGACTAATCTAGATTTCCATTTTTTCCATTGTAGCGGACGGAAACAGTAGTCAACGTCATTATGTCACATGATTGCAGAAAAATAAATCTATTACAAAAATGTACTAGGATTCGTATTAATTTCATACTTGCATGTATTTTAATCAAAACATTGCAAATATCATTACTTATATATTTTTAACATATATATTTTGCCATTTCCTTGACTTTATGTCATTACATGTTTCAGGCCACCAGGGGGGACAGTGCCCCCCCAAAAACTCTGCCCATGGTAGTGCGGCTTGTTCAACAATCGTCCTCCTGGTTTTTTTCCTCTAAAGCCGGGCATACTCTGTACTTATTGACACCTCGGCCTGCTGGTCTCGGTCTCATCCAGACATACATCTGGGTCACCCTTTGATTTTATTTAGTAAAAATTATGTTTTTTTCCTCCCCAAAAATAGTGAGAGTACTAAATTATAATGTGTTAAATGTTAATAATGTATTTACTAAGAAAATAAATGCATAAAAATCCTTTTTGTTTTATCCCTCTGTGCCTGATCTGGGATCCTATGCTACTTCCGGTGGCTAACTTTTTTGGCTTTGGATTTAAAAATAAATCTAGTCTTTTTGACGTTTTATGTTTTCCTATCTTGATAAACTGATGGTATATAGTCTCTTATTTAAAGGCAGAAACAACTAAACTGCAGATTGACATGGTTGTTTCATATTTTGCCGCTCTGCTCTGAGCATGTCCCATGATGACGTCAGTAAAGCAGGTAAACGGAGAAAATGCATAAAAAATCAAAAATGTATCAGAAAATTCATAAAACTTTTTTTTAAGTTGTGTATTAGTATTCTTTAGTGAGTTAAGGATAGAAATAAGTAATTTTAGACCATAATTACATTATTTATGGAAACGGACGATCGTGCTTCCAGGACATTTATGTTCAAAATAAGTGCATTTTTTCTTGAATTGAGGAGGTAAGTGAGACACTTTGCCAATAGAACAAGACAATTTACATTTAAAATAAGAAAAAAAACAATTGTTTTGTCTTATGTCAAGTGTATATTATCTAATTATCTTATTTTAGGAATAAAAATACTCATTCCATTGGCAAATCATCTCATTTTCCTGCTTAAATTAAGGGTAAATACACTTAATTTAAGACATTTTTTTTACTTATTTCTAGATGTTTTTTGCAGTGTAGTGACACTGCACTGGAAAAATTATCTAGAAATAAGTAAAAATGTCTTAAATTAAGTGTATTTACCCTTAACTTGAGTAGGTAAATGAGATAGTTTGCCAAGGGGATGAGTATTTTCACTCTTGGAATAAGATAATTAGAAAATATACACAGAAATAAGACAATGCAATTGTTTTCCTTATTTTAAATGTAAATTCTCTTGTTCCATTGGTAAAAATGACTCACTTTCCTCCTCAATTCAAGAAGAAATTCAGTTTTTTTTAAAGAAAAAATGACTTATGTAGTTTAACATTTTTTGCGGGGTGCTAAACAAAAAGTTTACAGTTCTAGCACCCCTAGTGGCTAACATTTGCAGTGTTGCTTTAAATGTTTGAAGCAATCATTGAAACTACATCCAGATGGAATAAAAACTGAACAAGGAAATTAAAGCTGAACGATTTTCCCGAAAACCTAAATTGCGATTTTATTTTTTCCTTGTCGATGTTTCGGCCCAAGCATTCAGTTTTTCAATGCTCGTTTGCCCAAAAATCCATAATTACAGGACTTTACTGTAATGTTTTTGTGAAAAAACTGCTTACTTCTTCTTGCCTGCATGAATCTGATACTTTTCTGTGTGACACCTAACCCACTCGGAGCATTTTAACCCCATTGGAGTTTGAAATTTAGTGTCTTAATGTTTTTAAATAGAGTGTGATTAAAAAAAGTTGTGCTTCTGCGATTTTTAAAATTGCATTTTTGTAAATTGTGATCATATTGCAAATGCAATTAATTGCCCAGCCCTACCATGAAATCAAACATCTTTACTCTTTTTAAGCCGATTTTGGAAAAGCTTAAAAATGAATGTTTCCAGGAATAAAAAAACCATGAAACCTGACTTTAAAGCTTTTTTTTTCTGTAAGTCTGACCCACTAACCTGAGACAAGAAGAGGGGCAGGCATAGTGAGAGGCAGCAGAGTGAGACGCAGCTTTCTGCTGCTGGAAGTATGAAAGCCAGGGAGCAGCTGCTGGTTTAACAGACCTGTCACTGAAATCAAAGGGCCTAATCAAAATTTGATCAATTAATTGATCTTTCCTCTTGTGCTTTGAGATTCCCCCGGACTCGCGGCCCTCCGACTGGAAGCTGCTCCCAACAATGTAAACTATGTTCATTAGCGATGATCAAGGATTCCTCTAATGTAAGCTGAGACGTGATATGATGGCTGCTTCTTCTCGGCTCTGAAGGCAACCCTCCCGTTTGCCCCTTCAGTCTCGGGGGTGGAACCTTCATGCCTTTTAATGCTGCTCATGTTAGCCTAACAAAGTGCTTTAGCTTTAACTTTCTCTCCCCTCCTGCTGTGTGTTTCTCTCAGGGTAACCAAGAGGCCACCAACCCTCCTGAAGCGATGGCCCAGCCCTACACCCCAGCTCAGTACCCGCCTCCCCCACAGAATGGCATCCCTGCAGAGTTTGCGGCACCGCACCCGCTCCCGACGCAGGACTACACCGGGCAGAGCCGGGTGCCCGAGCACGCCATGACCCTGTACACGCCCACACAGACGCACAGCGAGCCGGCCGGCACTGACAACAGCACGCCCACCATCACCGCCACCACGACCGCACCGGTCAGTGCCCTCCATCACCTGCAAACACTGTTCTCAACATGCAGTCAGCAAGTAAAATATATTCTTCTTTATACCTTTCATGTTATGATTGACTGTTTGTGATTCTTTTTGTGCTACTGACTAAAAATCTGAGATAAACTGATAAGGGGGTAAAAATTCACAAGTTCGATTGTTCACAGCCTCTGCCTGGAAATATTTCTGAACTTTAGCGCAGAGGGAACCCGTTCTGTTTCCAGAAAATTCCAGGGTTGCAGATGTGGAGGTGCATCTCACTAAATAAACATATCAGCAAAAAGGCAAACCTTTAAAGTCGTAGGGAAGTCATTTAAATTTCAAATCATTCTGGCTTAAATGTGTATATAAATGTGTTCTTTATCAGACCACATTATCCCAAAATTTAGAAAATTTCTATTTAAAATGAAATCCTGTCTCAAAGTCTGTTGTTTTTTCGTTATCTTATTCAGGCCAGTTAGTTCTACGTCAGCCTGAACACCTAAATTCATCCAATCATATATCAACGATCATCTGTCAATCAAATTTTTTCGGTCATAGCATCTTGATTCATACGTCGCAGCTAATATACGCAACGGTTGAAATCAGAAATCGGAATCGTTTCCTTTACCATTGAGTTGCGTCCCAGTGTTCACGGGGATGGACGTCTGTGTCTTCGGCAGGCGTAGAGCTAACAGAACTGGCAGCGTTG